CACACTTGGAGCTCTGGCTCACACCTAGAGCTCTGGCTCAAACTTAGAGCTCTGGCTCAGACTTAGAGCTCTGGCTCAGACTTAGAGTTCTGCTTCAGACTTAGAGCTCTGGCTCACACTTAGAGCTCTGGCTCACACTTAGAGCTCTGGCTCAAACTTAGAGCTCTGGCTCACACGTAGAGCTTTGGCTCACGCTACGAGCTCTGGCTCACACTTTGAGCTCTGGCTCAGACTTCGACCTCTGGCTCAGACTACAAGCGCTGGCTCACACTTAGAGCTCTGGCTCACACTTAGAGCTCTGGCTCACACGTAGAGCTTTGGCTCACACTACGAGCTCTGGCTCACACTTTGAGCTCTGGCTCAGACTTCGAGCTCTTGCACACACTTGGAGCTCTGGCTCACACCTAGAGCTCTGGCTCAAACTTAGAGCTCTGGTTGACACTTAGAGCTCTGGCTCAGACTTAGAGCTCTGGCTCACACTTCGACCTCTGGATCAGACAAGGAGCTCTGGCTCAGACTAGGTGCTCTGGCTCAGACTTTGAGCTCTGGCTCAGACTTAGAGCTCTAGCTCACACTTAGAGCTTTGGCTCAGACTTAGAGCTCTGGCTCAGACTTAGAGCCCTTGCTCACATTTAGAGCTCTGGCTCACACTTAGAGCTCTTGCACACACTTAGAGCTTTGGCTCACATTTAGAGCTCTAGCTCACATTTTGACCTCTGGCTCACACTTTGAGATTTTGGCTCAGACTACTAGTTCTGGCTCAGATTTTAGCTCTGGCTCACACTTGAAGCTCTGGCTCACACCTTAAGCTCTGTCTCACACTTACAGCCCTGGCTCACACTCAGAGCTCTGGCTCAGACTACGAGCTCTGGCTAAAAATTACAGCCCTGGCTCACACTCAGAGCTCTGGCTCAGACTACGAGCTCTGGCTAAAAATTAGAGCTCTGGCTCAGGCTTGGAGCTCTGGCACACACTTGGAGCTTTGGCTCACACTTAAAGCTCTGGCTCAAAATTAGAGCTCTGACTCATACAAAGAGCTCTGGCGCACACTTAGAGCTCTGGCGCACACTTAGAGCTCTGGCTCACACTACGAGCTCTGGCTCAGACTACAAGCACTGGCTGACACATCGAGCTCTGGCTGACACTTAGAGCACTTAAAAGCACTAAAGTTTAGTGCTTCTCAATTAATTTTTGTTATCCCGCACCCCCCCCCCCCCCAACTCTCCGCCGCGACTGTAAATAGTGTCTATAAAATTGTTATAAGTACACCGCTGCCTAACATTGTGTCCTTATTAACATTAAAGAAAAATAAAAGAATATAGATCAACTTACAAGGATAACTTTATTAACATTGTTTTTTTAGTCTGTAACAGAAACAACTTAAAGTGCATCAATTTGCCTGAAAAAAAAAATCAATCCTTTTTTAAACTGTAAACATTTTTGGACCATTTGATACTGGAAAAAAAATTTTATATGATCAATAAATAATAATAAATTCGAATTGACCAGTTAACATTTTAACTCAGGAGTGTTATATAAAAACACTTTGACCTATAAAACAAAAAATGAATAAAACAATTTATGCTGTGTTTTTAATCAATTAATCAGGATCAATGAGCACACTCATCGATAAAACAAAAAAAAATTGTCAACATGAAAGAAGAAAGAGGGGCAGGTAACCCTCTCGCTTTGAACAACAACAAAGTTGCTCAATAATCCAGGTATACAATCCAACATTTTTTAGTCAGGTCATCTGGACAGTTTCTTTTTTTTGTGCTGAAACGTTTCACCTTCGATCCAGAAGGCTTCATCAGTCAAGGAAACAACAAAACTGATTCTTCCCCCAACAGCTTCCTCCAAAGTGGAACAAACCAGTTCTGCTTGTGATAAGATGGTCTCTTTGGTACGCCCCCTCCTCCATTGCCGGCCCTCTTCCTTGTTGATAATCTTTTCCAACTGGTTGAAAACAACAAAGTCCATGCTCAGTAATCCAGGTATACAATCCTCTCGCTTTGAGTTTACTCTGTCACCTGCATGCTGTGGGTGAAAAACGCAGATCATCAAAAAACAGCAGCTTAACTGAGGAGGTGAATTTATTTTGTTAGCAAAGAATAGAGTCCTAACATTTATTAAACATTACTTCTGTAAATTGTGCTTTGACAAACTTATCGATAAAACTAAAACATTTAGTCAACGCAAAAGAGGAAAGAGGGGGCAGGTGTTGCTCTTGCTTGAGTTTACTCTTTGTTGCACGAGTGCTGTGAGTGATGTCCAGAGCGCACGGACATAAAAACAGCAGCGGAGGACGGTGATACACCTTTGATGTGGACACTGACAGGAGAATGTCAGGAGAGGTTCTGCAGGCTCAAAGGTTCATGAGCAGGAATTTAACTCCAAATAAATAAATTTTCAGATCACTGGAAGAAAATAATGTGTTTAAAATTATCATTAAGTTTGAAGCAGGAAGTAAAAGAGACCGCATGATGTTGGAAATATGATCTATAGAGCACCATCTAATATTAATGAAGCTGGTCCTCAGCTGTTCTGTCCAACTCTCTGCCTGATTAAAATGTTGAAAAATAAACTTCTGTTACCTGAATGTAGCTGTAGAACTGAATCTGTAAAAAAAAAAAAAAAAAAAAAACACGACCCAAAAAGAGTAGGGACATGAAATAAAAACAGAATTCAGTGATTTGATACATTTATTAAGTCGTGTTTATCCACCGCGGAACACAGAAAACACCCCAAATGTGGAAACAGAAGGACTTGTGGGGCTCAGGACCGATTCCACAATTCATCGTAAACACAATTCACCATGCCATCAGCAATGCTGATTAAAGCTCTATCCTGCAAAGAAAAAGACGTATGTGAATACCATCCAGACAAGGTCTTTTTCATGGACGACCTTAAATATTTCACCAAGACAAAATGACACACTGCATCCATTACAGCAGTGTGGCTTCACAGAAGAAGAGTCTGAACTGTTCTGCCTGCAGTCCACACCTGTCAGTAATAAAGACATGTGACACATTGTCAAATAAAAAGAAGAATCAGGACTGTTGAACAGCTGGAGTCCTATCAGATACATACATCTCATACATCATACATCTACATACAGTTTTGAAACTAGGCTAAAGTTTTTCCTTTTTTGATAAATCCTATAGTTAGGGTTGGCTTGGGTTTCCTGAGCTGTCCCTTAGTTATGCTGCTATAGGCTTAGACTGCTGGAGGACAACCTGACAACATTTCTTCACTACTGTCTTTACTTACTCTGCTCAACCTGTTTTGTATTTGTAATTATTTTTTTCCATCCTTGACATAAGTTTTTATCTTTCTGGTTCACCTGCACCTACATCTGGACCTTCCATTCTGTGTTTGTTTGTCTCTCCTTCTTGTCCTTTCAAACCAGCCGGTCAAAGCAAATGGCCGCTTGTCCTGAGCCTGGTTCTGCTGGAGATTTCTTCCTTTCCACTGTTGCCATTGTGCTTGCTCAGGATGGGAGACTGTGACGAAGCCAAGATTCAACGAGTCTGCTGCCTCCTTAGATAGAGAACTTTACTAACTGGCTTTTCTATGAATGTGAATGTTCCAGTAAAAACAACTTTGATGTGAATTGGTGATATATATAAACTGTTCTCATACATTTCCTGTACTAGTCCAATGTGTCCTACTGTGTTCATCCATGTCTTGCTGTCCTCATACACACCCTGTACCAGTCTAACAAATCCTGCAGTCCTCATACGTGTCTTGTTCCAGTCTAACATGTCCTGGTGTCCTCACACGTGTCTTGTTCCAGTCTAACTTGTCCTGCTGTCCTCATACGTGTCTTGTTCCAGTCTAACATGTCCTGGTGTCCTCACACGTGTCTTGTTCCAGTCTAACATGTCCTGCTGTCCTCATACGTGTCTTGTTCCAGTCTAACAAATCCTGCAGTCCTCATGCGTGTCTTGAACCAGTCTAACATGACCTGCTGTCCTCGTGTGTCTTGTACCAGTCTAGCATGGCCTGCAGTCCTCATACGTGTCTTGTTCCACTCTAACAGGTCCTGCTGTCCTCATACATGTCTTGTTCCAGTCTTAACATATCCTACAGTCCTCATACATGTCTTGTTCCAGTCTAACATGTCCTGCTGTCCTCATACGTGTCTTG